CGCCACAGAAGGCATCCGTCTTGAACCGGGTTTGAATTTAAAATAAACTTCATTTATAAATATAAAAGAAAATTTAAATCATGTAGATATGGAGACTGTCATGTCGGGATCGCGAGACTATGAGGAGCTCAAGTACGTGTGGTCGCAGTGGCGTGACGCGTCCGGCGCCAAAATGCGCACCAACTATCAAAACTACGTCACCTTGAGCAACCAGGCTGCCCAGGCTAATGGTTAATTTAATAATTTTTCTTATAAATAAAGGTCAAGCTAGAAATTTTCCATCAGGTTACGCTGACATGGGTGAGATGTGGCGTGCCGACTTCGAGACGCCCAACTTCCAGGCCGACATACAGCGCCTGTGGCTCGAGGTCAAGCCCCTGTACGACAGGTTGCATACCTACGCCCTGGCCAAGCTCAGGGAGGTCTACGGTGCGCAGATCCCCGACGGACCTTTTATTCCGGCGCACATTCTTGGTAATTTTAACGCTTGCGATTAATCGAAAAAATTATTTTATTTTAATAACTGTTTTCAGGAAACATGTGGGCTCAGTCTTGGGACAACATTTACGACATTCTTGAACCTTTCCCGAACGCGACCAAAATTGATATTACCCAGGCCATGATTGATCAGGTGCGTGAATTATTGATTTTTGTTCTCAGAAATATTAAATTATATCACATTTTCAGGGCTATGATGTGCCCCGAATGTTTGCGGTGGCCAACGAGTTTTACACCTCTCTTGGTTTGGAACCGATGGAAATGTCATACGGTGACCTGGCCATCATTGAACAGCCCGATGACCGCGATATTGTCTGCCACGCTTCTGCCTGGGACTTCTGCGATGGACAAGACTTCAGGTAGGATAGTGTTTTAAAAAAATCGAGTCAATCGAGTAAAATAAAAAAATTATATACTTAAAAAAGAATTAAGATGTGCACCAATGTGGACGAAGAAGATTTTATCACCGTCCATCATGAGCTCGGCCACATCGAGTACTACCTTCTATACAAAGACCAGCCTATCACCTTCCGCAAGGGTGCCAATCCTGGTGCGTATTTAAAAAAATTGGTAATGTTTTAGTACGCGCGACGTGTTTTTTCATAATTTGGCAGCACTTATGCTCCCATGTAAAAGTATCACGTCGCGCGTTCAATAGTGGTTTTACGTCGCGCATACAATACTGGTGGCGGTATAATTGTTTAGCTCGCTCGGGAGTGAGTGAGTGAGTGAGTGAGTGAGTGAGTGAGTGAGTGAGTGAGTGAGTGAGTGAGTGAGTGAGTGAGTGAGTGAGTGAGTGAGTGAGTGAGTGAGTGAGTGAGTGAGTGAGTGAGTGAGTGAGTGAGTGAGTGAGTGAGTGAGTGAGTGAGTGAGTGAGTGAGTGAGTGAGTGAGTGAGTGAGTGAGTGAGTGAGTGAGTGAGTGAGTGAGTGAGTGAGTGAGTGAGTGAGTGAGTGAGTGAGTGAGTGAGTGAGTGAGTGAGTGAGTGAGTGAGTGAGTGAGTGAGTGAGTGAGTGAGTGAGTGAGTGAGTGAGTGAGTGAGTGAGTGAGTGAGTGAGTGAGTGAGTGAGTGAGTGAGTGAGTGAGTGAGTGAGTGAGTGAGTGAGTGAGTGAGTGAGTGAGTGAGTGAGTGAGTGAGTGAGTGAGTGAGTGAGTGAGTGAGTGAGTGAGTGAGTGAGTGAGTGAGTGAGTGAGTGAGTGAGTGAGTGAGTGAGTGAGTGAGTGAGTGAGTGAGTGAGTGAGTGAGTGAGTGAGTGAGTGAGTGAGTGAGTGAGTGAGTGAGTGAGTGAGTGAGTGAGTGAGTGAGTGAGTGAGTGAGTGAGTGAGTGAGTGAGTGAGTGAGTGAGTGAGTGAGTGAGTGAGTGAGTGAGTGAGTGAGTGAGTGAGTGAGTGAGTGAGTGAGTGAGTGAGTGAGTGAGTGAGTGAGTGAGTGAGTGAGTGAGTGAGTGAGTGAGTGAGTGAGTGAGTGAGTGAGTGAGTGAGTGAGTGAGTGAGTGAGTGAGTGAGTGAGTGAGTGAGTGAGTGAGTGAGTGAGTGAGTGAGTGAGTGAGTGAGTGAGTGAGTGAGTGAGTGAGTGAGTGAGTGAGTGAGTGAGTGAGTGAGTGAGTGAGTGAGTGAGTGAGTGAGTGAGTGAGTGAGTGAGTGAGTGAGTGAGTGAGTGAGTGAGTGAGTGAGTGAGTGAGTGAGTGAGTGAGTGAGTGAGTGAGTGAGTGAGTGAGTGAGTGAGTGAGTGAGTGAGTGAGTGAGTGAGTGAGTGAGTGAGTGAGTGAGTGAGTGAGTGAGTGAGTGAGTGAGTGAGTGAGTGAGTGAGTGAGTGAGTGAGTGAGTGAGTGAGTGAGTGAGTGAGTGAGTGAGTGAGTGAGTGAGTGAGTGAGTGAGTGAGTGAGTGAGTGAGTGAGTGAGTGAGTGAGTGAGTGAGTGAGTGAGTGAGTGAGTGAGTGAGTGAGTGAGTGAGTGAGTGAGTGAGTGAGTGAGTGAGTGAGTGAGTGAGTGAGTGTGAGTGTGTGAGTGGTGTGTGTGTGAGTGAGTGGTGTGTGAGTGAGTGAGTGGTGAGTGAGTGAGTGAGTGAGTGAGTGAGTGAGTGAGTGAGTGAGTGAGTGAGTGAGTGGAGTGAGTGAGTGAGTGAGTGAGTGAGTGAGTGAGTGAGTGAGTGAGTGAGAGACCGGAGCCACCGGAGGTCGTCTTGCCCCATTCTGAACCCATCCCAAGGGCCCCCATTCTTCCTAGCAGTCCCCTACAATAAGATTGTAGGAAATTATTTGCGTCGCGCGTGCCATTCATATTGCCGAGGTATCGATGGAATAATTCGGTTTTCTTAACAATTATACTTCCACCAGTATGGTACGCGTGACGTAAAACCATTATTGAACGCGCGACGTAATACTTTTACATGGGAGCATAAGTGCTGCCAACTTATGAAAAAACACGTCGCGCGAACTATATGTATAACATTACCGCGCGTACTATAACATTTCCAAAAAAAATCATAGTTCATTGGTAATATTATTATTATTGTTAATTTTAAATAAGGATTCCATGAGGCGGTTGGAGATGTCATCGCCCTGTCTGTGAAAAACCCGCAGCATTACGCGACCATCGGCCTGCTACCCGAATACACAGACTCGTATGAAAATTCCATCAACACGCTGCTGCGCTTTGCCCTGTCCAAGGTTGCTTTCTTGCCATTTGCGGTGCTCATTGACAGCTGGCGTTGGGAGGTTTTCTCTGGAGCCACACCTGAAGCCAATTGGAACACGCGCTGGTGGCAGCTCAAGTGATTTTGTTTTAATATATTTATTCTAATGTTCATGGTTTTAAATTTTATGATATATAGCTATGAGAAGGTTTTATTCAATATTCTAATGACAGCTTTGTTACATTTAATTATTTTAAAAAAAAATTTTAAAAAGTTTTTACTAATATTTAAACTTTGTGATGTAGAGAAGAGCTGCAGCTGGTTTCTGCCCCTGTTCCGCGAACTGAGCAACACTTTGACCCTGGCGCAAAATACCACGTTCCTGGAAACTCTCAATACATCTCGTAATTATGAAGAAAAAAAATTCTCCTGTTTTTCCTTATTTTCCATAAAAATTTATTTCTTTAGCTACTTCATTGCGCACATCCTGCAGTTCCAGCTACACCGCGCTCTGTGTATCGAGGCCGGACAATACGACCCTGCTAACCCGGACGTCAAGCCGCTGCACACCTGCGATATCTACAGGTCGACTGCCGCCGGCACCAAGCTCAGGTGAGAAAAAAGGGGAAGATTGATTCAAGTTTTCCAAAAATAATGTGAAAATTTAAGCAATCTGTTTACTTTTATCAAAAATTCAGCAAAATTAAATTGGATTTGAAAATGCTTTAAATATTTTAGCAAATTCAATTAAAATTTGCATTTCATTTCCTGAAAAATAAAACTTTTAATTGCTGACGATTAAAAAAAAAATTAAATATCAACTGTTCATCAAATTATATTAATTTATTTGAGGTTAAAATTTAATTTTTGACTTTTTTGATCTGTGTAGAAATGGATTGGCCCTCGGTGGCTCTCTTCTTTGGACCGAGACGCTTCAGCAGCTGACAGGCGAGACTTCAAGCCCTTGTTTGATTTCTTGCCGCCCGTTCCTGAAGTTTCCCAGCCTCAGCCTCTGGTTGGAGCCCAGGAAGACCCTCCGACGGAACCCGTAGACCAAACAGTTCCTATCGTCGTTGGCGCCGCGTCATCGCCTTGGTCGCTTACTTTGTCAATCAGTACCGCAACAGAAACAAGGATTAAGGAGCTTGGCAGGAGCTTTCTGTGTTTGTTCAAGTTTTTATTTTTATTCCATCTTTTTTCATCTTATTGCAATCTGGTCCTATCAAATCAGTTATTTGTTTGGAGTATTTGTAAACCTTTTGCTCAATAAATATATGGAAAAAATGCAAAAGAATTAATTTCCAAGTTAAATTTATTTACAACATGATATTATTATTGTTAGCCATCATAAGTACGGCAGTAATTTAAAATTTAAATTTATTTTCCATTCCCATTGTATTATTATATTTGTGTATTTTACATAATACAGCATAGGAAAAAATAAATAAAATCAAATAACTTGCAATCCTCAAACAATTTTTTATAATGAAATGGTATATAAAGTGGGTGGTGAGCCTTTTTTCATCACTGGTGTTCTCGCAGACATCTGCTAGTTGTTAACCATTTATTTTCTTATGTTTTTTATTCATGCAAATTTAAATTTTTTTTTATCGATCTCGAGAAGTGAAAACCATGAAAAAACGGTAAACACTTGATTTAATAAAATCTAGATTTATTTACTGTAGAAAAAAAATGAAATCCATCAATTTTTATCCATTTTCGAATTAATTCATTTTGAAATTGGAAGTTCACTCCAGTTCATATCAATCAGCATTCAGCTCATTTGCACGCCTCTTTGCCGCCGAGATTCAAATTCAGGCCGCTGCGGTGGCAGCGCCGGTGCTGCCGCCAAACGTCAACTAGTGGCAACGAAACACGAAGGGTGACAGCTCGCTGCGCCCGTCCCATTCGAACATCGTCCGAAGCGATTCGAGGCGGACAGAGACCGCGCCCCGAGTGCCGCCGCCGTCCGCAGGCCCCCGCGCAACGGCCTCCAAGCCGACCGCCCCCGGCAAACTTGCCACGACTGCAAATTCTCGCCTTAAAGGTGGTGGCGCGGCCATTTTGGAGGCGCCAGCTGTTTCGCGTGTCGCATTATTATTTTCGGGCAGCAAAATGATTTGACCGAAGGAAGAAGAAGTCGAGGAGGAACAATGACGGACGCCAAGGGCCACAGCAACGAGCCCGAGATGAAGGGCTGGCTCTTCAAGTGGACCAACTACTTGAAGGGCTACCAACGACGCTGGTTCGTTCTCCAGAACGGCACCTTGTCCTACTACAGGTCCGTCCGAATTTTCTCTAGAATCTCTCTTTGCATGTGTACGTGGACTTTGACGTGTTTGTTTTTACCGCACCCGAATTTTTCTTTTAATTTTGTCTCTCACTGCCTGCTGAAATTTTCAATTTATTTTTGTTCTGTTCTCACGAGGGAAGCTTGGGATTTTTGCGAAATTTTGACGCGGAAACTCTACTTTTTAACTGCTGTTCTTGTTTGTAAGTTTTCCTCTGGTTTTTTTTGTCTTTGTTTATTTTTCTTCATTTTTGATAGTTTCCGCTTGATCTAAATGCACTCTGCTTTGCGAGAATCGTTGAAAGCTTTTGAAAATCCGCTTTTGAAAATTAACACTAAATTATTAAAAAAAAATATATATTCTAATCTCCTTTAATTTGACGTCAAGAAGTTGATCGTCACCGATTACACGGTCTTTAAGTATTTACTCAAGGACGGTTCGTCTTCATTTAATTCTCTTTTTTTTATCCTCCTGTCATTATCACTTTAAAACATCTCGCGTTTCACTTGTTCAGCAAAGCGCACCGTTTTGTCCTCTCACTCGACGGCTCATTTTTCACTCCTCGGCCGCTTTTATTTATAATTTATTTCAGTTGACCCCTCGCGATCGATTCGCGTTTAATTGCGGCTTAATGAGAGCGCGGCTTGCTTTGACTTTCTCACGCACACACCACAGCTACCCCAGCTGCCAAAATCGAAAAATTATCCGGATATTACCCTCTCTGGAGAGGATAATATCCGGATAAAAGTCAGTTTTGGCAACTGGGGTAGCCCAGCGTGCATTAATTTCGGCTCCATGACCTGCGCAAACTCGGCTCCCGTTTGTCGCAGTCCCTCTTTTTTTTAGCTCGAACGTAATTTTTCCGACAATGGTCCGACGCCAAAACGAGAAATTGCATGTGGAGCAGTTCGGAGATGACGCAGTGGAGGAAAAAAAATCACGCGAACTGGCACTTTTTCTGCTCTAATTTGCATAATGGTCGTCTTTGTTGATCCGAAACGAGCTGGCAAGTCTGCAAAAATATTTATGAACGAAATCACTAGAGAAATAATCTCCACCAAATTTCCTTTCAAGCAGATCAATCATTCAGTAAATCAAGAGATTTTCTATCAAACTGTATCAAACTTAAAAGAAGAAAGAAATTTCTATTTTAATCCAAGAAAGGAACAGTCCTTTTACATTCTTAATTCAAAATTTTTATTTTATAATCAAAAAAATTTCTGCTCAATAATTTGAGTTATTTCTAACAGAATTAGGGAAATTCATATCAAATTGTTTTCTTAGTTTCTTCTTCCTAATATAACTAAGAATCTTGACCTTAATTTATTATTTATTAATCCAAATTATTACATCCCATTGTTTACATTAAGTTTTTGAAAACAATTTATTAGAAAATAAAGGAAATTTTGGTAAAAACCTCACCACCATTAGCAAGAATTTTGCTGAAACGTCCGAGATTAAAAAGAACCCGTCCGCCGCAGAAATTGAATCAAGCGTCTCTATTTTTCTACGTATATAAATTCAAAATCATATTAAAAATGATATTTGACAGGAAAAATTCTCTAGAAAACCGCCTATGGTAAAGTTTTTGATAAGAAACTTACAATAAGATAAAATAGAAATATATTCTTATATTTTTAACTTATTGTTTATAAGAAAAATAAATTTTTTTATAAGAGTTTTTATTATTTTCATTTATTTATTTATGCCTATGATGGTTCCCAGAATTAATCACCCGCAAAAAACCGTCACTGGTTGTTTTTTTCTGGTAATTTGCATCCGGGAAAATCCACATTTTTTTCAATTTTCTCGGGATTTCCTTCTTTTTTAGTAGGCACAATTGCTTGATTTCTCTTCAAGATCATGATAGTTATTAACTTTTTTTTGTGTGTGATATATTTGAAAATTTGGACATTTTAAATGCCTGCAAAAAATTGCAAGTTGTTGTACACACAAAAATTAATAAAAATAAATAAAAAATATTAACTTGCAATGCACCGCATTTTTCTACAAAATGTCGGGTTTTTCCAAAACGGGTTTTTAAGAGAATAAAAAAAAATGAGATGATGACCTAATGATTAGAATAAAATTCACCTCAAAGTCGCAATTAAATTTTTAAGGTTACATAATTCCTTTTACATATTGTGGGAATTTTGCTGAGTTTCATTTTTTACAAAACTCAGGATGTTGATTTTGAAAATAATGCAGACGGTTTAATAAATTTAAATTAGCAGAAAAAAAGAGAAATGGATTGAATGAAAACGGACTTTCAGTAACCAATATGGAATTATTTTCATTTTATGTATAAAAATTAAACTCATTTCATTCAGTCATAAATCTATGATGTTCTTTTTTTTTTATTTGAGACTCACTGCGGCGTTCAGAGTATTTTTGATCTTGGAAGTTCTAGCCAAATTTTTGCTAGTGGTGGTGCCGTTTTGTCCAACAATTCCTTTTTTCTCAAATAAATTGTTTTTCAATTAAATTAAAAATTTGGACAAGCAAACAACAATGAAAATTTATATCAACCAAAGATAAAAGTAAAAATTACACCCTCTTCGCATTTTTGTATTAAAAAGACTTAATTGTAATTCGCGTTGGTTTGCGAAAACATGCGCCGGTGAAAGTCTTGTTGTTTTATCGACTCGTTTTACGACGCCAATAAAAAAAAGCAGACGGCTGTTGCGAATTCGTGCGTCCAGTTCCGATGGCTTTGTTTGCCCCAAATATAAATACATTTTGATCCGTTCGTCCTGCAAACTGAATTCTGCTCTCACTGCTCGTGGTTTTTGTCGTAATCACGCTTTTCCGTGTTGTCATTTAAAATAAAATTCTAAATCGTTTTCCTAAAGCAAATCTTTCATGTTTCTTCCAGGTTAAAACGACTTAAAAAGTGAGAAATGAATTTATTCGACCTTCAATTTCGTATTTTTAGATTTTTAAAATTTTCAAACCCGTCCTAATAATTCAATTTAAAATTTAAATCGCAGTTTTTAATCCTTTTTTAAAATGAAAATTGTTTTTTTTTTTAATTAAATTTCAATTGTTGAAAATTCAAAGTTTGCTTGAAACAAATTATAGAACTAGACACTTTTTTCATCGCACACTTTCCTTTGCTGCGTAGCATGCTGCTTATGGATGTTCGGCCTATTTTGATTTCAAAGATCTTCAGATTATATGCTAGAGCATTATTTTTAGAGGAAAGCAAATTGAGCACTTAATTAATTAGCAAATGAGCGAGACGCTTCTTGGCCAGACGTAGACTCGACTCTGTAGTCCGGAGCTGAGCAATTATTATTAAATGAAATAAATAAAGAAGCAACCCGTTGTTGGTGTGCGTTGTGTTGTAATGAGACGGTGTGTGGTGTGATAGGGCGGAACCCTCCTCCTCATCAGGGCCGACTAACAGACTCTCAATGAGGAGGCGCCGCAGATTGAGTAGAGCCGCAACCGTAGACGTCGAGTGAGTACCTCTGTCTAAACAAACCAATCAAATATCTTTTTATGAATTCAAAGTACACGCAGTTTCACCACCTTAGACGAAATTCACTCTTCAAATTCATGAAGATCTTTAAAATTCATCAATTAAAAATAGTTTCGATTAGCCAAATGAAAAATACGCAACCCGCGCAACACAGAAAATTGAATTTTGTCCATAGTAGCTTTTTTAATTTTAAAAATCTTTTTATACTAGAGAGTTTTCCATTTCCTATTTCGAAATCCAAAATCGGTTCTGTATTTCCCGGGGTGGTTTGCTTTGAAGATTTGGATATGCAGCCCGCGTGACAAAATCTAAAAAGCCGCAAACCACGGGAAATGCTGAACCGATTTTGGATTTCAAAATAGGAAATGGAATTGCAAATCGACCTGAATGCAAAACTCGCGGCCATAAAAGAAATATTTAAATTAAAATAAACTATAGACAAAATTTAATTTTATGTGTTGCGCGGGTTGTGTATTATGTTTTCGTGGAATAATTTTTTTAATTTTAATCAATTTTAATTAAAAGAATTTGATGTGTTTTTATATTCAGAACTTATGACATAATATTCATTTTTGAAGATCGGTTAGAGAATTTGGAGTGACTTTCTCAATATTTTGCAATTTATAGTTGACACAGTATGCAAAAAATGCTGGCTTTTTATCAAATTTGTGCACCTTTTTTAACTCAGCAGGGTTTGCATGTCACACGCGGAAAAATGAGCAAATCTGAGCAACCAATTTTCAATTTCGAGATGAGTTGTGCTTTGCCAAAGTTGGTGGTTTTTGGCCTGATTTGCATTAACAGAGTGCTTTTTTTCTTTTTGCAATTCATAACATTGTTTCCGCATCAAAATATAACATCAACATTCTTATTAATTTCATTAATTTTCTGCAACGCCTTTCAAAAATGTGTACTGCAGGCAGTTTCATGCGCATTTTTTTTTTTAATTCGGATTCATTTTAATATGATTCTTTTAAATTTTAATGACATTTTTTTAATATTCGTATATGGATGTAAAATGAATCAAAAATTTATTAATTAATACTTTTTTTAAATATTAGATTTCAACGATTTTTATTTCATTTTCGTATTATTCGATTTAAAATTAATCAAAATTTTCACTAGAATTTTTCTTAACTAATATTTTTTCAACTTTTAAATTTCAAAGATTTTTCTATAAATATTCATAATGGATTTAATATTGATTGAAAAATTTATTCAAATTTTTAAATATAAATTTATACTAAAAAAATCTAGTATTATTATTATTTATAATAGTTTTTTATACATTAATGACATGAAGCTGCCTTCAAAATTGTGTAGTGAAGAAAAATTAAGAGAATTTGTGAAAATATTTTCACTGACTTGGCATGGGTGTCTGTTCTGATTGGTGCTCGACAGGAACCAGGCGGAAATGGTGCACACGTGTCGGGGCACGATCAGCCTGCACGGCGCCATCATCCACACGGAGGACTCGTGCACATTTGTCATCTCGAACGGCAGCACCCAGACGTTCCACATCAAAGCGGCCAACGAGGTCGAGCGACAGCGCTGGGTCACCACCCTCGAGCTGGCCAAAGCCAAGGCCATCAGGGCAATGGAGTCAGGTGAGTCCTGCAACCCTTTCAAACTGCCTTGCATCAAAGGTAAAAGAAAACATTGCGAGGTAGAGCCGCGAACGTTGCATCACTTGAGGTGCGGAATAATTGCGGTTCAAATTTTATTTTTTGTCAACCGGAAATTGCAGGAGGCACAAATTAGCTACTTAAACCCAAGGAAGGTTTGAAAATTTAATTTTAAATTTTAACTTTCTGGTAATAAAGGATTTATTTATATTTGATTGCCAATTATGTAATTATTAAAAAAAAATCCATCAACCAAACTTTAATCAAGACTATTTTAGTTTGTTCAATTCTTCGCAGATCAGGAATGTAATTTTCAGAATTTGCAATTTTAAAAAGTTAATTTTGCTGTCAATTATTTAATTATTATAAAAAATTCCATCAATCAAACTTAAATTGAGAACCTTTTAGTTATCACGAATTTCATTTTTAGAATTGTCAATTGTTAAAAATTTTGAATCTCTGATATTTCATAACAACGCACATGCGTCATTTAATGTCGAGGGCCAAACCGACTATTTTAGAGTTCTTGGCGGCCGGAATTTATCTAAATGAGTGCCGTTCTAGGCCACTTTTATCAGGGCAATGCAAGTTCGCAAACAAGCATGTAAACAATTCGCAGCGCCTCTTCCCCGCCGCCCAGCAGTAAAAATAAATTACTAGCGCTTCCATTAGTCAGTCGGTGCTAATTGTACCATCTAAGAAGTAGTTTCGCTCGGATTTTGCAGCAAAATGTAGCGAAAACAATGGTCAATTTCTGTTCCCTGCTGTCCACGGCCTTCTGCAGGTCTGGAGAGCAGGGCGACTCGACCAAATGGCTCGGTTGGTGTTCGTCTTGCTTCCGCGGTGAGTCTTCGTTTTGCTTGACACTGCTAATGATAAAAAAAAATTATTAAACTCAAGGCCAAGTTTGAATTTTTTTGCAAACACTTTTACTTTTCTCGTAGAAGTTTATTTAAAATTTAAATAGTCTCCACTCAAATTTTATTTTTCTCTCTCTATTTTTGTATTTTAAAATTGACGCTTTTGCTTGGCAAAGCAATCACTGTGTATAATTGTGCAATTACATTAATTATATCGCTTCAGGCGTCCTCAAAGTGGGCCTTTTGCAAGCTTGGCGAGACCATTGTTCAAGAAACTCAATATCAATTATTTTAGTCTTCCGTATTAATTGCATATTTAATGCAGATCAGAAAGGTCATTTATTATTATTGTTGTTTATTTGTCTAAATTGTTTTCATTCAATTATTGAGAAAAATTTATTTGAAAATTAAGGAATTTTTGGACAAAACGGCACCACCACTAGCAAGAATTTTTCTAAAACTTCCGAGATCAAAAAGACCCTATCCGCAGCAGTGAGCCTTGGGTTGACTTGGTTTTTTGTTCTTATCACTTAGTTAGTTTTATATAATATAATGTTAGTAAACCATTAATAATTCCTATTGTTGAACTGTTTTAAATCTATTATTTAATTTTAATTCCTATTTATATTATTCTTATTTATATTTAGTTATTTATTTACATTTTTTATTATTATTTATTATTGAAATAAAATATTTATTTATTTTTTATTTATTTTTATTCAAAATGCCTTAAAAACATTGACTTCAAGATTAAGCTGTGCCTTATTTCCAAAATAAAAATAGTTTCAATAAATATTTGTAGCGAAAATTCTGCCGACCCTTAAGTTTTGTCCACGAATCAATCAATTCTAATTCCCATTGATGCATTGTTGCAGAGGAGGAAGAGGAGTTTGAGAGCAACAATGCAGTGTCGGAAAAGGAAGAGTTGCAGACGGTGTTGAAAACGCTGACGAGTCGTCTCGAGGACATGCAGACGTGCAGCGACCTGATGGCCAAACACGGCGCCGCCCTGCAGCGCGCCCTTTCCGAACTGGAGACCTCGGAGGGCTCTGAGGCTGCCGCCGCGGCCGGCTCCAAGCTCAAGGCCATCGGGGAAAAGGCCACCCTGTTCCGAATCGCGTCCAACGCCATGATCAACACTTGCTCTGAGTACCTGGACACGGCGCAGGCACAGGGCAAGCGTTGGCAGCGGCTGCTGCAGCACGAACGGGAGCAGCGGCAGCAGCTGGAGGAAATGGTCGAGACACTTGCCAGACAACACTCGAGCCTCGAACAAGCGGCCAAAGAGGCCAACTCAAATCGGCCTCCAGCCACAAACACCGCTGGATCGCAAAATCAAACGGCCAACGCAGTCAGCAATCAAACGCCTGGCAGAAGTAAGAGTAATTTAATTTTTTTTTATCATTATTCAAGGTTAATAAAGAACAAAATTGTTTATTAATAGTTAATGATTTATATAAATATTGTAAATTTTTACAATTTTTTGATCACTTTAAGCAACAAATTTTATAAATATTTCATTATTTTTTTATAGTTAAAATCTGTTTTTTTTCTTCACAAATGAAAGTAGTTGAATTTCAAATTAATACCTATTCTAATTAAAATGTAATCCGTGGAATCCATTGATTTTTGTATCATTGACCTAAGACAAATCAATATTGATTTGCTCACGCAACACCAAAGATGGCCCTGGGCCTATCGATCTGCTAAACATATAATTATCAATCTTTGAAGAGTCACGTAATCGATCAAACACGTTTGACCCTTTTCCTCGTTCACTACACACCATTCTTGCGAAGATGCAACTACACTTCTTGAGTCAGAATTCAAAAATAAATTATGCCTCATTAGAAGCAGATTGCAAATTTATATTATTTTTTTCTTATGGTTGCAGATCCGAACCTGTCGCCATCAGACGAAGATGAGGAGAACGAATTTTATGACGCAATGGAGGACACGGTGCAGCCCAATTTCATACTGAAAATTCCACTAGGTCACCGGCGACCCTCTTCAGCTGGATCGCAGGTAAATTTTAATTTCAAATCAACTTTAATCTTTAAATTTTAAATTCAGACTAAAATTAAAAGGAAGATAATGCTTAAATTTCAGTCCCTTTTGTGACAATGAAATTTTAATTGATCCCGAATTGAACGTTCCCAATTATTACAGTTTTGGTTTCTCTTTGCGAGAAAGAATCCCTACAAATTCGACTGCGTGCCCGAAGTAAGCGCGCGATGAATCATTCACTTTATACTTACTGGTCACGTGATGTGATGGTGAACAGAGCAGGATGGCGTGGTCGCTGGCTCAGTCACTCGCGCTCGGTGCTCCGTCGTGTCTCCCATTATCGAGCACAGCGGTCGTTTTTTCGCAGATAAGGTGGACTCGCGAACACACCTCTCAGTTTTCGCTGATCGTCAGTTAGTCGGTTTATCGGAGACGCGTGGCACGTGTGTCCGTTGTTGCAACTCACAAACATTGTCAATCGCGCTTTCAGAACTCCGAGGGCCACGGCGTCGGCGGCGACAATCACGACGAAGGCTCCGGCTCGAGCTCTGAAGTGGACGAGGCTGCCGAGACCACGGTCTGTGTCATCACCAGTGACAAAAGCAACACCTCAGTATGTATCAAGATTTCATTACTTCCGCCATGTGCTTTGTCAAAAATTTTATTTGGTTTTTCCATCAAATTGTGCTCGTCGTTTCATGTTATTTGATTGACCACTGCTAATCTATTATTGATGTTCATTTTTGCATAAATTCTAAACATCATCAATTAAAAAATTAAAAAGTAAAATTTACTTCAAACCAGCTTCAAACTATCAAAAAATTGGCCAGAAACATTAAAAGGCAAATTTTTGTCGGTAGATTTTATATAATTATTTTTTTTTTAATTAATGGAAAATTCCATAATATTTCTGAAGAAGTTAGTCATTTTTATTTTATTTGGCCTAGTTCTATAAAAATCATTGATTGCCATTTGCAGGTTGTTTGCCTCAAATTCTTATCTAGTCCTAAATGTTTGTAAATTGCACTTTGTTTCAAGCGCAGTCGATAAACACATAAAAAGAAGTAATATCACTAGGTGCAGGTGTTGCAGCAAACGACCTTCTCAGTGGTCTGTACGCAAACTACTTTCTTGAGTTCATTCTCGCTAACAGCTGTGTGTCGTGATTTAAATCGCAATCGAAAAATAGCTGCAGCTCAGCTTCATTGGAATGACCTCCAACTAGGCCTATTCACTTAATCCCGATCGCAAACCTTGACGTTGCTTCTCATTTTTTTTGTGCTGAACAATTTTTTGCACGAAATCTCCAAAGTTTTGTCAGAAATATCTTTCCGTTGTTTACAAATATCTGTTAAAACGGGGCCGACTGCTGACGAAATTGGTTGTTTACGTTTTTTTATTCATATTTCAACAGGCGTCGGCCGGCGGTCAGGGTCATCAGAGTGGCCTGAAGGGAAGTGGCGACGAGGTTATCGACAGCGCGCCAAGCACGCCCACTTCTTTGGTGCAAAAGATGGGAAGCCACACGCCAAAACGGATTCGCCGCACCAGAGTGCCTGAAAAACCCAACTACCCGCTCAACCTGTGGTCCATCATGAAGAACTGCATCGGCAAGGAGCTGACCAAAATCCCAATGCCTGTAAGTGTAAAGTTGGCATCAAATTATAATTCTTCAACAAATCGATAATTTCTTGTGTTTGGTTTTTTTCCGTGTATTAATCTTATCAAAGTTGGTTAAATTTTGTTCATTAATATAAATTTTAGTGATAAATTATCAATTTTCCTCTAAAAACTCTTAGAAGTGTTAATTTATTTTCATCTAAATAATTTTTTTTCCAGGTGAACTTTTCCGAACCGCTGTCTATGCTGCAACGCCTAGCCGAAGATTACGAGTATGCAGACATTCTGCACAAGGCGGCCAAATGCAGCGACTCCTGTGAGCAGCTAGCCATGGTGGCTGCGTTCACCGTGTCCAGCTACGCCACCACCAGCTGCCGCACAGGCAAACCGTTCAATCCCTTGCTGGGCGAAACCTACGAATGCGACCGGACGGCCGACCTTGGCTGGCGCACAGTTTGCGAGCAGGTGTCGCACCATCCGCCCATGGTGGCTCAGTATGGGGAAGGCCTCGGCTGGCGCTGCTGGCAGGAATTCACCATGGCTTCCAAGTTCCGTGGCAAATACCTGCAGGTTGTGCCTCTCGGCACTGCCCATCTCGAGTTCCTCAGTTCTGGTATGTTTAAAATAAAATGGAATTTCAATGCCAAGAGTAATATTTTTTTCTCAGGCAACCACTATACATGGCGGAAAGTGACGACAACAGTGCACAATATAATTGTTGGTAAACTGTGGGTGGACCAGCACGGGGACATGGACATTGTGAATCACAAGACTGGCGACAAGTGTCACCTCAAGTATATTCCTTATAGTTATTTCACGAGAGACGTTCAGCGAAAGGTCTGTTTATTGAGTTGCATTAATTTGGAAATTTGCAACTTAAAAATTATTCTCAGGTGAAAGGCTGTGTTATGGACAAGAACGGCAGTGTCAAATGGGTCGTTCAAGGCACCTGGGACAACAAAATTGAGATTGCGGAGGTTATTAGTTCACAAGGCAACTCGGAAAACCCTGTCTTCAAGACAGGGCCGTACAAGGTGGCATGGAAACGAAGACCTCTTAAGTAAGTTTTCTTTGGTACCATTTAAAAGAAGAAAAAAAAACTGAATATTTTATTTACCTGGGAATTTTAGTTTATTTGATTACATGGAATGCATTAGCTGTGTAGCATAAGTTTTATTTATTATTCGTACGTTGGTTTTAATATAATTCTCTTTTACTTAGGCCTGATGCTGAAAAGTACTATAACTTTACGGAACTAGCATGCCAACTGAACGAACCTGAGGAAGGTGTTGCACCAACAGACAGTCGGCTGCGTCCAGATCAGCGACTTATGGAAGACGGTCAGTGGGACGAAGCAAACTCTGTCAAGTTGCGCTTAGAGGAGAAGCAACGAGGTGTTCGAAGGCAACGGGAGGCTGAGGCTGAGAAAGCCACTGCTGAAGGTATTTAGGCTCTTGAATCTTGCTTACTGATACTGATTGCTTTAATGTTATTTTTTTTCCTTTTGCAAAGAATCGGAACGTCCAAGTAAGCACTCTGCTTCTTAGTTTCAGCTGAATTAAAGTCCAGATTGTACTCAATATATTTTTCAGGTCGACCATACCCTCCATACGAACCGATTTGGTTCAAGCAGGAGACAGAAAAGGTGACTGGTGTGGTCGGATACATGTACCAGGGCAAGTACTGGGAGTGCAAGGAAAAGCAAGACTGGTCCAAGTGCCCCAACATCTACTAGCAGTCACCAAGATCAAACAGCTTTTTTTATGTTCAAGCCATAGAGAATATTTTTGTCTCGGACACTTTTTCTAGAATGCAAGCGGACAATTGTGTTATTTTGTTTACTTTTTGTTTTCTGTCGTCGACTCAAGAACAATCACCTGTAACCACATAATCAACCAGCCGAGTGTAGATTTAGATCCAATTATCAGCCAAGTATAATAATATTTATCTCCTTCAATAACTCTATATCGATCGTTTCCAGATACTTTCAGATTATATTATATGATCATTAAATTTGTTAAGTGAATGAAGAATTTTTAACTGTTAATCTCTCTCTGAATTTATGAGTGGGTGCTGTGTAAATAATTTCCAGTGTGATAACTGCAAAATTCCAAGCGTGTAACCAGTCGCTGTTCCTCGATTTTGTTTCTCATCAGCAGTACTTACCTAATCAGCCAGATGCTTCTTGTCTCATTAAGTTTGCTCGCTCGTTTATTGGCTTTATTGCTGCTAAAAGTGATTGTTTGTTAAGCAAAAATTAAGTATTAAGGATGAAGACTTGTCAAGTAAGTTATAAACGAAGCCTTTGTAGTGTGCAAATTGTTAACAAGAAGCAACCAACAAAACACCTATTTACAGAAACCGATTTCAGTTGATCAATGAATCAATTCTTGTACGCTGTTATTTTCATCAATCTAGTGGACACCAAAAAGTGAGTTGTACTGAAGCCATGAAATAAAAGTTATCTGTTGCTACTATTAATAATTTTCAACTCATCATTTCATGCTTGCCCTGATGAATACAAACACAAAATTGACAATAAGGCAATTTTATTTCTTACAATTACAAAGTTTTCATGGTATTTATAAGATATTTATGTACAACCCAAGTGCTCAGATCTGGGATAAGTTGAATTAAATAAGGAGGATGACACGAGTTGAAGTAAATTATAAATCATCCGGCTCTTTCTCTGCCATCTGAGCATCAAGCTTTTTCAGATAATCATGGAACATCGAACTGCTTCTGACAAGGACATTCAGGTTTGGATTTTCTACATTGTATTTTGAACGCAGCAGTTCATGCCGCTTGATGACCAATTTGCTGCTGTACGCAAGTACTCTTGGTGCGGCTACTATTTCTTGCCTAGTAATGCCAGCTTTTAACAGTGTCTCGATGCCAGAATTCAGCTTCACTGCACTCAATCTAAGCAGAACAGGATACTTCCGAGCCATTTCAACAGCATCTTCCTTTGAGCTTAGTTGGAAAACCTTCTGTACGAAGTCCAGTTTTGACATGGACTTACCCAATAGCTCCTCATTCCTCTTGTACTTTTCAAGACTCCTGCAAATATTATATTAAAATTTGAAAGAAAATTAAAATATCTTTTAAATTAAACCTTTTAAAAACTACGTGAGAAGACCTCGCAAGCCAAGGCTTAGCTTTGTCCATTCCAACAGACTTTATGATTTCCAATCTACTCCGTATTTGCGCCGGATTGTATCTAAGGATCCATGGATCTTTCATGACATCAATGGGATCTATTTGATATTCTAAAAATAGAATTTAATATTTAGTTATATACCTTCCGACACAATTTGAAATGCGTTAAACACAAACCATATAAAACTTCAAAGACTTTTTCCATCCTGGCCAGTGGAGTGTTTAGAAGATAATGATTTTTTGAAATAATGTCGCACGCTTCAAGCTCTGAGCACTGAAATTTATTCTCATTAATACAAAATATATTTGATATAGTGGCAGAAAACATACTTTAAGTTTCTGACTAAGGAAAGTGATCCTGTCTTGATTCTCTTTGTCCACGCCTTGAATTTCATCCAGCTTTTGAGACTTGGCAAACATCTTTTTCAGCATTTCTGCATCCAACCGCAACAGAGGCACCATGGATGATACTGTGCGCTGCGTCTTCACAAGCAGCACATCCATCCGAGACTTCAGCATCTCTAAAATTCAGATTGCCATATTACAAATTTTTAGGGTTTTATTATTAATTTAGCCTTACGTTTACTGTACTGAAGAAGCCAAGGGAAGTCGAGGACTGTCCTTGGTTCAAGGCCAAGATCTTTGGTCAGGTACTGGCATGTGTTTTTGAGGTGCTTGGTGTTGAGCTTCTTGATCTCAGGGAACTCCATGAGGATGGCGCAGCTTTCTTGCTTGGAGCACCCGAGGACATTGGATAGGTGTTCTGAGGCACCTTCATAATGTGCAGGTACCTCCAAATTGTTGCTCATATACACCGTTCGCAGAACAAGACCCTCCTGCAATGGTAACGCGCGGACCGCGCCCGCCACTCGTGGATTGGCAAGCAGCCTCGCCAGGAACATAATGTTGTATTATCTAGCAAATCCTGAAGGTGAAGGAAAACTGTTGACCCCCTTGGTTGACCCCTTTCTCAAAACTTTGTTTTGAAATAATTTTTTGTTTTCATCGAGTGAATGAGGTTGGTAGCATTAATGAGTCAGTTCTACCAACCAAGAAATTCATCAGTACTTTTTTGGGATGATACATAAATTAAACTGTATCGTTTTGCCGCATTTTGTCTGTTTCAAGAGAAAACTAACAATGATTAGAACAGAAAAAGAAGTTTTTCTTAGCTCTTCTCTAGCAAGCAGGATCAAAATAAAATACTGAATTTCTGCAAATCTGCTTAATATAAGAAAAAATTTCTAAAATTGTATAAATAATTTTTCCCTTGAAAATCAAGCAAAAATATATATAACTTTTAACTTGAACGCAAACTACAATTTCCATAGAACAAATTTATAGTTTTATAATTTATACAATATTAATTCTTAATAAAATTATAATTCGAAAACAATTATTTATGATGGAATAATTTTGATATTCCTAAAATTTTAAAAAGGGGGATAAGGCATGTTATTGTTGGAAACCGGATAAGGTGTGGATTGCAGTGGATAAGGAAGTCTCGCTGGTATTGGTGGAGGATTTGATTCCAAAGGCGATGCCAAAATTTCGGCCATTTTATCGGCCTTGACCCTTCGGAGATGCATCTGCTTGCGCTGAACCAAGAACTGGTCAATGAAAGGGTCCAATTCAATCTCCGATGACATGTACTGCTCTGCAAGCGCCTATGGATTTAAATAAGAGTTTTTTTTTTGTTCCCCTAAGAATAGTTTTTTTAATCATTCATACGTCAGACTCCTCTTCACTCTCAGCTGCAGCTGCTTTTAAGATGTCCAGAGCCGAGTCCAAAGACATGTTTCCTGACTTTTGAGCTGTATTTAAAGAATGGAATTTATGTAGTTGAAAATTTAAATAAATATGCTGCCAAATTTTTACCTAACTCTGCAGACTTGGCCTGCACGCTCTGACAAAGCTCCTGTGCACGTTCAGATAACTTCAAGAATCGTTCCTTGCCCTCTCGCAACTTTGGTTCGTAGGTCAGGTTAAAATCAGCAAGTGAGCGATTGCTGGCCAGTAAAAGCTCCTTCTCTGATTCATGTGATTTGTTCTAAAAAAATTGTTTATTAGTGTTAAGTTTTAAATTATTTTTATAAAATATTGTAATTTGGCCTGCGAAGAGTTTTTAGTGCAAAAAAACTATAGACAACTTCTCTCTGCCACAAACCTGTTTCAAGTCTTTAAGCAGATCCTCAAATTTGCCGTCGTTGTTTACGATATCCTTAAGTTCGTCAACATTCAGGTGAGCAAGAAGGCCCATCCCTGCACTCAAATCCGGTTCTGCAGATTGAAAGTTGCTGTACATTTTGCAAGTTGCTTATTGATTGTTTTCAATAACGTCAATTATGATGACTGGTGCTAGGATATTATGTATTTCCAAATCTTTGTAATTTATCTTTTATCTTTACGACATTTGACAGGAAAGTCGACGAAAATCAAAACAAAAACATTTAAACCGGTGTCAAGCAGTAAAAACCGGTTAAGATAAACTTACCGGTTAGAATAAGAATCAATATTGAATAATTTTAAGCTTTTCGATGCTTTCAATGAAGCAAAAAATTGAAGAAATATATTCAAAGGATATTTTTAAATCAAAAGTGATGGTTTTTCATTATAAAGAAAATGGAATTAGAAAAATTAGCAATACTGTAACTTGAACCAAATTAAATCGTCAAGAAAATACGCAGCAAAATTACTGGCCCTAGGGTGACCAACAAAATAAAATTTAACTGGTAGATAAAAGTTTCAATAAGTCTTGATTTGCATGTATGTTACTCCTAAAAATTATTTTAAACGCACAAGTAACAAAATCAGCACTTATAGCGACAGTTATATTTTTAGATAAATCAAAGACAGAAAAGTTTCAACTCTATAGATTTAAGTTGGCAAATAATAATCAGAGTTCAAAAACCCCCGTTAACGGTTCGAACCGAAACGGACCAATCAGCGCAAAGGAGGGAACTGGAGGTCGGTCGAAAAGTGTCATGGCGTCATTGCTGTGTTGTCTCTCAAGTGGACTTTGTTTTTGTCTGCAATTCCAGTGATTTCTAACGCATTTGGTGACTTAGAAAAGTTTCAAGAATGTCGCCTAGCATTGGCGTGAACCTCCGGGTAACTGGTCACAGCCACCAAGGCGGCCGAAAGTACATGGAAGACATTTTTTCCGTGGCCTACCAGTCAACGGCTGACGAGAAGGACCTCGAGTACGCCTTCTTTGGCATCTTCGACGGCCACGGTGGTCGTGAGGCGGCCCAGTATGCCAAGGACCACTTGATGGACTTGATTGTGAAACAAAAAAACTTTTGGTCGGACCGCGATGAAGACGTCCTGCGTGCCATCACTGACGGCTTTGTTGCCACCCACAACGCTATGTGGAGCGTAGTTGGTACGAATGTCACAATAATAACACAATTTAATTCCATGAACACACATGGCATTCATTAAATTTTAATTTAACTTTGCACTCAATTAATTTTTTAATTGCAGAAACGTGGCCCAAAACGTCAAGTGGGCTGCCAAGTACGTCTGGAACGACAGCCAGTGTTGCCTTCATCAGAAGGGGTCGCATCTATATAGGTCATGTTGGTGACTCGGGAATTGTTCTCGGCTGTTCTGATGATCGTAAGTGGAAATAAATTTAAAAATTTTAAATTAAATTAAGTATAGATAAAAAAAATATCTTGAAATTGTTTTTACTATAGCTATATATTGTTACATAACATTGTGCAATAGCAGAATATTTTATTTCAGTATTTGATTTTTAAAAGAAAAATAATATATCTGCTATCAAAACTTTGTAGGGGAAGAAGAGTGGAAGGCAATGCCTTTGACAAACGACCACAAGCCTGAGTGTGAAAAGGAGTCTAGAAGAATTCACGATGCTGGAGGCAAAGTTGTGAATAAAATGGGAGTACCTCGAGTGGTATGGAATCGGCCGAAGCCTGGGCACAAAGGTCCCATTCGCCGGTCAACACCCTTTGATGAGGTTCCTTTTCTGGCCGTTGCACGCGCCCTTGGTATTTTTACAAATTAAATCTAAAAATATTGCTAAACCTCATGTTTGTACGTAGGTGATCTCTGGAGTCACAACCAGGAGCAGGACTCATTTGTGGTTTCACCTGTGCCTGATGTGCATGTCCTGGCAGCTGATGCCAGCAAGCACCGTTGCCTGGTCCTTGGCACTGATGGTCTCTGGAATGTAATGACGCCTCAACAAGCAGTGCAGATTGTTCAGCAAACTGAACGTTTCAACGAGTCTTGCTACGAAGAGGTAATTTTCATTGAAATGACTCCATATTCCATATTCTTTACAAATATTTTCATCAGTCGCAGGAATCTTGGATAAATCCTTCTCACTGCTTGGTCGAGAGAGCCTTGCAGCAGTGGGCAAATTTGAGAATGAGGGCGGATAACACGAGCGTTGTTACTTTGATGCTCGATCCACCTGGCCCTCCTAGATTTCAGGTATTTTACCGTGGCAACATTTTGTTCTAAATTTAAGCAAAAATTCCATTGTAGGTGAGACAGCAAAAAAGCAGATTGTCAACAACGAGTCCAGCCCACAGGAGGGACAGAAACACTCAGATGGAAGACCCAGAGGAAAGTGCTGAGGACCTGGACGTCTTGCAAGACAGCCCTTTAGATTCCCCACCTCTAACTCCAGAGGCTGCTCCTCCAAATCAGGAGTCTGCAGTTCTCACAAACACAACGGTGCCCCTTCTGAATTCGAAGGAACCCCTTCCTAGCAAAACTGTCCGGGGTGCTGTCTTGCCTGAGGACGGCAAAGCCAAAAAGCGTCACCTCCATCCAGCTGATTCAGTTCCTGCTAAAAGGAGGCTAGGCCTTGTAAGTGCTCAAAATTATTTTCATGCTATTTGTTCTAAATTTCAAATATAATTTCAGGGTGAGAACAGAGGGCGGCCGGAAAAAGGTACAAAGTCGCTGCCACTAGTGCAGAGAGAGCTTCGCTCCAGCAGTGTGCCCTTGAGGAAGAGATTACGACCGTCGATAGCAGTCAAATGACAACTCTCGCTCGGAGCAAGAGCGTATGGTCTGTGATACATCACGTGCCTCATCGCCTGTGTTGTCTGTTTGTTGCAGACCACCATTTGTTGCTATTTACTACAACTCACTTGCATCTCTTTCTCTCTCCTCACTCAATATAGAAAGTAAAACTCAAGAGTACCTCCGACCGTATTAGATGTTATTTGTAAATTATTTATATCACTACGAACAGTTTTTTGGCACACAAACTATTTACTAATGTAAAATTTAAATGTATTGCTGCCCCAGCTACTGGGGTGCCAATTAAAATGTCTCAGCCGCTTCCTATGTTACAGTTTGCATGGGAGGTCGGCTTTTAATTTATTGTTTGAAGACGACATGACAATATAGTTCATAGGTTTATGAATATTTTTTGTTACCAATTCGTGGTAATGCGTCTGTTGTGCAAAGTGGGATGGGAGACATCCCAAATAACAAAAATGTCGTATTTTTATATTAAACTAATAAAGAAAATGCAAGATTTGAATCCGTATTTGTAAAAAGTTGCATTTTATTCAGTCATCCTCTTGGGATACTGGTAAACTCTGAAATAAAATAATTATTCAATTAATTATCCAGATAAATTATAATAAATACTAACATAAAATTCAATGAAGCAGATATGGCCATCATCATTTTTAATCATGAACTGCATACAAAGAAGCCCTCTATCATCTGTCCTAATTGAGACCTTTTGAGAAATGTTCAGAGCTTTTAAAGCTGGCTTGAAATGTGCAAACTTGTACCTGGAATCAATAGAACACTTGAAACTTTGGAAAAAATATGGACAATAATTACTTAGAGGAAGAATCAGACTCGCATTGGAAAAGCTCAATCATATCACTTTCCTTGTTAAATACAATCTGGAATTTAAAATTTTCATTTTCACACCAATATAAAATAAAATGCTGAATGTACCTCGCATTCACCCATATACCCGAGTGTTTTAATTTTCACCACAGGCTCGCTGGAGAGGAGAACCAGTTCAATGGAATCTGTGCTGGGATCAACAGAGTTCAAGATTTCTTTCAGAGGTTCAGAGCGCAGGATAATCTTGTTTATCACATTGTCTGAGGTAAACTCAAAGTTGGAAAGTTCGTCCACCTCCATTGTTCGGATTGAGCAGTCCGTCAACACATCTTCCTCCTCCAATCTAGAATAATTAAATATTTGGTAAGTGTCAATTTCCTTTATATGGGCTTCAGTTGATTCATACAGGAGCTGGACTGGATTTCCATGGCCCTTGTATCTGAGTTTCAATGCTGTTGAGGAGGAAGAACTTGTTGCGTCCCCGAAAATGTCGAGACACTCAAGCAGGACGCTCAAGTCAAGACTAAAGTTGACACTCTCCTCTTCTTTATCATATTGATACTCCTGAGAAGTGAGAAAGAAAATCTTATTATTATTATACTACTGGATTTTATAGCTTTTTTTGGTTTGAACCTGAAAGATCTCCGACTGGATAAATGCGTTGGCCTGACTGCATTTCCCGGACTCGACGGACACCCTCAATCCACTTTCTGTGGCAAAACAGGTTGCTTTCTAGAAATTAGAGAGTACAGTTGTTATTATCCAGTAGAGATTTTAATGATGGAAGTAAAAACCGGATGGAAATTTATAGCCTTCAGGAGATGGTAGATGTTTTTTACGTTGTCCATGCGAAAAACCAACTGGTACTCGGAGTCTTCAACATCTTCATCAATTGAGGGCATTGTCAGAGCTTATTTTAATGTCACTCTTAAGGATGATCAGATCAAGACAACACAAATAATCTCCTAATTAAAATTTTGTATTTTCTCCCGAGGTAGAGAGAGCAATTTAAATTTGAGCGCTCGTCCAATGTTTACAAATCGAAGGACGAAGGGGTCGAGCTTGTTGGGTCAAAAGAGGAGAAATCCGAGTGTCGGCCATCTGCAATTTTGTTTGCCCGTCGCAACCTCAGCGATTCGCGCGCAAGCGCAATAATAAGATGGCGTCGATACTCAACCTTTTTTATTTTTAACAACTTTGCTTGTTGAAAATGTCGGATGTACACGGCCGCCCTTTTGTAGCTGTCTAGATTTGTTGCAGAAATTTGAAGTTCTGGATTATCGTTGAGTGGTAAAATATTTTGCTCTCTTTTAACAAATAGTGCGCGAATTTTTGCGTCGAAGATTTGTATCAGATTACCCGCTAAAAGTCACTTAAGCGCGAAGACACACATTTTTCAGTTGTCGCATTCGTTGGATGAATATTAAATTTAAAATACATAATTCATCATTTTTACCCATGAAAGACAATATCTCAATTATAAGCCTTCATAGTATTTATATATACGCCGTTCAAAACCATATGTATTTATTATTATTTTTATCATGCTGCGTACATAATTATTTTGCTGCAGTTCGATCATTTGTATTTGCATACTAGAAAAAAATTCTCAATCAATTTGATCACCGCATAGATCAATATTATTAAAGAAAATAATTACATGAAATTGTTTTAATTTAAAAATTAAGGAAAGTTAAACAAAAATTTGAAAATTACGGGGGGAAATTATTAATAAAAATTTTTAAGTATTTAATATTTATTTTGTAATTATAAAAATTTGAAAAGATTTGCCTTAATTCAATAACATTAATTTCAATACATCTAGTATAATAGTATTACTCTAAATATAAAAATTTTCCCTTTTTCTCAGAATTGTTTAAAAATTAAAGAAGGAAAATCTGGAGAGCTAAATTATTTATGAATCATTTTGCAATTTATTGAATTTTTTTTTACAAATATTAATTTTTTTTCAGTATTTCGCATATTCTTGAGTCTGGAAATTCCCTTCAACACAATGACGGCTGCGCCTGCTGCAGGAAGTGCAGCAACCTTGACGTTGCGTGAAATCGCATCCGAGGAAAAGTACCACAGCAAGTTGTCAAAAATGAAAATCATCACAAACGACAGCAGCGAGTACAAGTTTTTCGCTTTGGTCGATGACACGAGCTACATCATGTGGGCCTGCGCGTCGTCCGCGGACTGCCGCTGCATGGTGGCCACGGACTTTGACGGTGTCCTTGTCAACACCATCAACTGTCACGCGGCCTTTTGTCCTGCCTCCGTGACCCAACGGAAGAAACGCAAGGAGGAACCAGCAGCCACCATCAAAGAGTTCAACGGCGTCAAATTGCGAGAGGTTTTGGTGCCTTTCAAGAGTCTCGACCGCGAGGAAATCGCCACTGGGGTGTTGAAACCCACGTCAAAGTACCGCCTCATGCTTCCAATCAACAACAAGCTCACCCTTCCAGACTCAATTCCCAAAGTAATAATTTACAAAATTCGACAAAATCTGTTTTTTTTTTTCACACTTTCTCAAATTTTGTTTTTGTAGGCTTATTCGAAGAAGTCGATCCAGAAAGCAACTTCCAAAAAAAGCTCCAATCCAACTCTCAGTCAGCACTGCCGAATGTGTGGTGAAGTCTCCGAAAAAATGACCCTGATCCTTGGTTTTGACGGTACTCATCGGGACCTGAAATTCAAACTCGAATGGCTTCTCTCAAAAAATGTGAGCTGGATAACGTTATTTTTAATTAACCATAATTATTGTCATTTTGACATTTTTTCAGCAAAATAAACTATTCTATTAAACTATTTTGTATTTTTAACCTAGATTGCTGATGATGACAAGCTACCTATGAAGTTGTGTGCGTCATGCATTGTTAACCTGAATCTCGCCTATGACACCTTCATTATGGCAATGCGGACGCAGGAAAGACTCCGTGAAATGGCTGATAAGCAAGGAATCAAATTTCAAGTTGTAAATATAAAGTTGGTGCGTGAATTACTAAACTCTTATTTGGCATCGACAGAAAAAAGAGGATCCGCACAAAAAGATCTTCAACATGCTTTACAAGGAGGAGAGAGAAAAGGTGCCCCTCGGATCCACTTGCTGGCTTTGCAAGGAGGACAACATCGTCGACCTGCGGAAGCACAACGTAGTTTTCCACAGCGAGTTCCTCTGCCGCATCTGCAACGACGCCTTTGCCAACAAAGATGACCTGGCGGAACACATGGAGGCCAGACATCTCAGGTCATGCGAGTATTGCTCATGGTAAAATCTGTCATTATTGAATTTCTTAATTGGATTAACATGTTGATGATTTAGCTCATTTGAGACGCAGAAGGGCTACGAGTTGCATTTAAGGTCACACGAAATTTGCAAGACACCCGGCATGAAGTTTGTGCCGTGCCAGTTCTGCAAAGAGACTTTCCACAATAAGAAGGAGCTTCAAGAGCACCTCTGCACTGTGCATCTACAGGAAATAGTTGAAAAGCAGGGTCCGAAGTACATGTCCATAAGCAAGCTAACAACGTAATATTTGCAACAGCAAAATTTTAGCTACATTTTTTTCATTTTGCATTTATTTGCAGGGTTAAAGAGAAGGAAGAACTGGAAAAAGAGTGTGAACAAGCCGGACTTAAAATTAGGTAATGCTGAAAATAGTTAAATTCGCAGTTAGAATTTTTCAAACTTCTTCAGGCAAACAAACAACTACGACCTGGTTTGTCGGATCTGCGAAGAGAAGTCTCAGAGTCTGCTGCACTTAGTGAAGCACCACCGCGAGAAGCACAACAAGTACTTTTGTGACAAGTGCAAAGAGTCTTTCGACGAGAGATCGGCGCTCGAAGAACACATTCCGATGCTGCACGACCAGTACGCAGTGGCCTGCAACGAGTGTGACGAAGTTTTCCGCAGCGTTATCACCCTGGAGAATCACACAAAGGCCTTCCACTTGAACCAAAGCACCTTCACGTGTCCTGTCTGCAACAGGCTGTTCTTCTCTACGAGCAAACTCAAAGCGCACATGCATCTTCATCTGGCCTCAAATGTAATTATCCTTTCCTCAATTTGTAATAAAATTGTTAATTTTCAACAAAATTCCAAATTGCAGGACCACCAGTGCGCGTCGTGCGGCAAACTTTTCTCCAACAAGGCGTCGTATCTGAACCACCTGCGACTGCACGACGAGAGCCGCGAGCTGCTCCACTGTGCGCACTGCACCAAGACCTTCCAGAGCAAAAAGTACCTGATCGTGCACATCAAGTCGCACCACCTGTCAACGTGGTACTACAAATGCCTCGAGTGTGGCAAGGAGCACAGCACCCTGGACGACATCACGGTGCACTGCAACGAGTCTCATCCGAACGCTGAAATCAAGGTGCAGCGCCTTTCGCACGCCGTTTGCAACTTCTGCAACAGAGAGTTTGGCAGTGAGGTGGTGCGAGATCGTCATGTTTACAACAACCACAGGGTGAACAAAGGCAAAACTAAGAAGTTGAAGAACGAAGATGGGGTGCCCAAAATTAAAAGTAAAAATATTTTTTTTTAATCAACTTAAAGACAAATTATTTGATTCTGAAAAGCTAATTTTGCTCATCTTTGCAGAGACGAGGGCTAAACGTCGCCACATTTGCCGTGAGTGCGACATGGTTTTCCCTACCAATGCTGACCTGGCCCTGCACAAGGAGAGTGTGCACAACTTGCAAAAGTTCTCTTGCGACATCTGCCCAAACAGACACTACACCTACGAAGGACTTCTTCGACAACATGAGGTCAAGGTCCACCACATCATACGCGAGTTCCAGTAAGTTTTAAACTTTTTAATTATTCGTTAAAGGAACGGTTATTAAATTTTTTTCCCGTAGAATTTTAATTGATTTTATTTTGTAATGAATTTGTAAAATAACTTGATTCAAATTTCATTTCAGATGCCCATCGTGTGACGCAATGTTCAACACAAGCCGTAAGTTGGCGCAACATAAAGCTGTAGTTCACACCAAGCTTACAGCCAGTGATTTGGTGTGTCATTACTGTGACAAGCAGTTCACTACTAAACTGACTCTTCAAAAACATATGGGCACTCACACGGAAGACGTAGACCCGTCCATCCAATATGTGACGGTCTCGCATCAAGAGGGTGGTAGTGAAACGACAATTCGCATTGCACTAGAAGGACTCGATGCTCTGTGATTTTGTGATTGTTAAGCATTTATTTGATTAAATTAAATTGCTTGGTTTGATTTTGCAAAGATAATGTTTTCGAGAGCGTGAAACATACACTTTTTTTGCTCCAGCTCTATGTATCTGCAAATTGTCTAAATTGTTTTTGAAATATTAAAAAAAAAAATTGATGTTTGACATCATGTAAAAAATCTTTTTTTGTCAATAATTTATAATTAAAGATTAACCTTTTACAAATAAAGCTTGTTTTTTTGCCCCTCTGTTTTTCAGATTGATCAAAATAAAATTTAAAAAATTATTCCTATTGTAATTTATTGAAATGAACGCCGTAGGCGTGCTACAAATTAACTCTAACAATATAACCTCCCAATTCACTTGGCTTTACATTTTGCTGCTTCTCGGAGACTCATTTTCTTTTTTACACAATCTATTATATATGATACTGTGAACAAACTCCACCACAAAATTTACAGATACAATTTTCCAATGCTTCACAGTGATATGTACTGTTTGTACAAAACAAAAAGTGAAAACCATGACACGCGTATCTGGTGAAAACATGTCTATCCATAAATTGCGCCGCCTTCCAGTTTTCTTTAATCATCGTCTCCGTACCATAAAATTCATCACAAATATTCAATTTCTTCAGCAATTGTTCATAACAAAAAGTTTCAAATGCATTGTTCACTGGAAGGTCAAATTTTTCTTTTAAATCAGAAATAAATAAATCGGTATCGACAAGCTCATACACAAAGCGAGATTTCGTGTATTTTGACATCCCTAGTACTTTTTTCAAGTACCTACTCTTTACACATTCCAGTTTCACAAAATCTTCCTTTTATAAATACTTCCAAATCGCTTCAATACCATACGAGGCCATAGGAGCAAATTTCAGCTCAAATAATTTCAATGCTTTGTCAATCGAAAGCATCCGCAATTCTTTTACACTATATGTACATTGAGAGTAACGCCGCTCTCACTCGCTTTTCGATATGTTTTTTAAAAGTCACCCCTGAGGGCTGAAAAATTACTCCTAAATAAGTAAACTCATTAACAAATTCAATTTCCTCATTTTGAAACAACAAAGAGTCGCCTTTCTTTAACCTCCCTTTTCCTCCATTTCTAAACTTCATAATTTTGCATACATTTAATTCAAGGCCGCGCTCCATGAGGTACATTTTTAAATCTGCCAGGAGTGATTTTAAATCTACTAAATTAATACACGTAAAAACAATATCATCTGCATAAAAAATTGCTTTTATGTTTGGATACTTTTTAACCAGCTTTTGGATATCTGGAGTAGAAATATTGAAAAATAGCGGGGAGGTGCAGCCACCTTGCCTCACTCCATTCGACTGAGTTAATAAATTATTCCCATTCAGGTTACAAATCTTGAGCCATATGCACAGAAAATTATATATTGTGCTAAGAAATATTGAAAATGGCCCCTGTGGGAAAATGAAATCATTAATTGCGCTTGGCCCATAATTAGCAAGATTTAGTAACTTCTTATAGTGTCCTCTAGATTGTTATCTATCGGATGATTTCAATATTTTAGGAGCAAACTTCGATTTGAAGATAGCAAAATATGACGAGGGTACAAATGTCAAAATTAATTATTAATTAATTATTACATAAGTTTCATAATTTTTTCCTCTCTGATTTTGATATTCCTTTGCAAATTAAGAATAATTAATAAATTCACATTTACAGCATAAAAGTTTTGCCAAAAATGTACAACTATTGAAAATAACAGCGTATTTTCCAAAATTATTAAAATATTAATATGCGCCTTCAAGTACCATATTGACCAAAAGCTTATCGTAAATGCGTCAGTTGAATTTTGCGAATTTTGATTATTTAAAAAATAAGCGGAAGCCATTGGTATAAATAGCCTCAATCAAAGGATAAGTAATGTTAGTTTTGACAGCACAAGTACAGCAGCAGTAAGTTGAAAAAATACAAAAAATTTTACATAAATTTTAATTACATTTTTTTTAGAAAAAAAAATGGAAAAGTTCGCCGTCTTCTCAATTATGGCCGTGAGCTTTTTTGCCACGATTAGCGCTCAATTTATCGTCCCAGGAAAGTGCCAAAATGTGGCTGTTCAGCAGAATTTTGACACACCTTCCGTAAATATATAAATTTTCTATTAATTATAATTTTTTATAAAAATCCCTTTGCAGTACCTGGGCCGTTGGTACGAGTATCAGCGCTACTTCTCTTTCTTCCAACCTGATGGCAAGTGCGTGTCCGCGACCTACACAAATTTTAACGAAACCTTCTTTGAGATCAGAAACTACCTTGTAAACGCAAAGTGAGTTTATCAATATATATAATATATAATGGACTTTGCCAATTTTTTACTTTTTTCCAAAAGTACCAACGAGGAGGAAATCCTTCTCGGCTATGGATACCAGAGTAGCGACACTGACGAAGGAACTTTGCGGATCAACTTCCCCACTACCGGTGAAGGTCAGTTATTGCATTTGAACTAAAAAATTGCGACACTACTTGCTAGGGACGTTACTTTAAATTTCGGGTTCCCTTTGTAAATCGTAGGCAATTTCTTCGCACAAGAGCTGTGCGGGTTGCCTAATCAGTGAATTTTGAGACTGGTGTCCAGGAAACTCAATAATTGAGCACAGTTTTGATCATTTTTAAATATTACAGAGGACGGAGACTACTGGATTCTAGGCACCGACTACTCTTCATACTCCGTTGTCTGGTCCTGCTCGAACGCTGGAGGCCAATCCTTGCGTTAGTTTCAATTTTCACCGCGCGCATGTTGAAAGAAACCAAAATTCCATAAATAACTGAATTCAATAGAACTCGCTTGGTTGCTGACCCGTGAGAGAGTGCCTAGCAATGAAACCCTTAGCGCAGCTCAAGTCATCATTGACGCCAACGGGCTCAAGGGCAACTTCCTTGTAACAGACCAGACCGGCTGCCCCCGCGACCCCTGAAGATTTCAGCATTTTTTACTTTTGTAGTCATTTTGTATTTTAAATAAAAATTATTAAAAACACATTTTTGGAGGTGTGACTTTTTAATTATTCCTTCATTGAGTACTTTACCCTTTTAAAATACTGGAATAAAAATTCGTATTTATTTATATTAAAACACCCTTTTTATTATAAAAATATGGTAAATATTACAGTTAAATACAAAATTGTCCAAAACTCGCAGTTTTGTGCTTCCAATAATATTGATTATTTTTTCTCAACACATATTATACCTACAAAATATATCACAGAGTAAAAAAATACCAATGTTCTTCATGATTTAGCATAAGTCTTGTTTATAAAGTACAGTTCTGGAGGGTTATTCACTGGCCCCTGTGGGAAAATGAAATAATTAATTGCGCTTGGCCCTTAATTAGCAAGATTTAGTAACTTCTTATAGTGTCCTCTACATTTTTATCTATTATCGGATGATCTCAATATTTTAGGAGCAAACATCGATTTCAAGATAGCAAACTATGACGAGGGTACAAATGTCAAAATTAATTCTATCAATCTATTACATAAGTTTCATAATTTTTTCCTCTCTGATTTTGATATTCCTCTGCAAATTAAAAATAATTTAAAAAAATCATCTTCACTTTTGTAGCATAAAAATTTTGCCAAGAATGTACAACTATTGAAAATAACAGCATATTTTCCAAAATTAATAAAATATTTATATGCGCCTTCAAGTACCATATTGACCAATAGCTTATCTTAAATGCGTCAGGTGAATTTTGATTATATAAAAAATAAGCGGGGGCCATTTGTATAAAAAGCGTCACTCGAAGAATAAGAGATGCTAGTTTTGACAGCACAAGTACAGCAGTAAGTTTTAAAAATACAAAAAATTTTGCAAAAATTTTTGTTACACTGTTTTTTTATTTTATTGATCTTTAATGACTTTTTAGAAGAAAAAAAAATGGAAAAGTTCGCCGTCCTCTCAATTTTGGCCGTGAGCTTTTTTGCCACAATTAGCGCTCAAATTATCGTCCCAGGAAAGTGCCAAAATGTGACTGTTGAGCAGAATTTCGACACACCTGCCGTAAATATTTCTCTATTAATTACAAATTTTTATAGAAAAATCCCTTTGCAGTACCTAGGCCGTTGGTACGAATACCAGCGCTACTTCACTTTCTTCCAACCGGATGGCAAGTGCGTGTCCGCGACCTACACAAATATTAACGGAACCTTCTTTGAGATCAGGAACTACCTTGTAAACGCAAAGTGAGTGCTGATCAACATAACAGACTTTACCAATTTTTATTAATTTTTTTTATTTTACCAAAAGTACCAGTGAGGTGGAAATCATTCTTGGCTATGGATACCAGAGTAGCGACACTGACGAAGGAACTTTGCTGATCAACTTCCCCACTACCGGTCAAGGTCAGTTATTGCATTTGAACAGAACATTGCGACACTTCCATAGGAATTGTAACTTTATTATAAATTCGGGTTCCTCGGACACCTTTGTAAATTATAGGCAACTTCTTCGCACAAGAGCTGTGCGGGTTGCCTAATCAGTGAATTTTGAGACTGGTGTCCAGGAAACTCAATAATTGAGCACAGTTTTGATCATTTTTAAATATTACAGAGGACGGAGACTACTGGATTCTAGGCACCGACTACTCCTCATACTCCGTTGTCTGGTCCTGCTCTAACGTCGGAGGCCAATCCTTGCGTAAGTTTCTCAATTTTCACCGATTCGCCAAAAAAAAACAAAAATTCATGTCTTAAAAAAATTAAAACAATAGAACTCGCTTGGTTGCTGACCCGTGAGAGAGTGCCTAGCAATGAAACTCTTAGCGCAGCTCAAGTCATCATTGACGCCAACGGGCTCAAGGGCAACTTCCTTTTAACAGACCAGACCAACTGCCCCCTCGACCCCTGAAGATCTCATTTTTACGTTTATAGTCATTTTGTATTTTAAATAAAAATTATTTAAAACACATTTTTGGAGGTGCAACTTTTTAATTATTCCTTCATTGAGTACTTTACCCTTTTAAAATATTGGAATATAAACTCGTTTATAATAAAACTCCCTTTTTATTGTAAATATTACAGTAAAATACAAAATTGTCCAAAACACGCAGTTTTGTGCTTCCAATAATATTGATTATTTTTTCTCAACACATATTATACCTACAATATATATCACAGAGTAAAAAAATACCAATGTTCTTCATGATTTAGCATAAGTCTTGTTTATAAAGTACAGTTCTGGAAGGTTATTCACTCTCAG